ATCTTGTATTTCTAGTATCTTTGGTACCTGTCTCTTATACACATCTAGATGTGTATAAGAGACAGTAATAATGCAGTTAGGTATACGGTTATCAGGTGCAGAATGTGGCAGAGAAGATAAAAAGCTATTCGGGAAGAGAATGTTGTGTAGTGGGAACTGAGACATGTTGGAGGGACGAATTTGATTTTTAGTATTTGCTCTGAACTTTATTTAATAATGGTTAATATATTTATATTTGCCAATTAGTGTAATACTTATAATTAATTATTTGTAATTTTATATTACACATAATTCAGCATATGTTCCCAATTGATTGTTGCATGTGATTTGTTTTTTTTTTCTGAATTAAAATTATATTCAAGAGTATATAATTCTCTTCGGAGTTGTGTAATTGTAATCTTTTTTTTGGGCAGCGTAAGAGTCCATACCACGTCAGCACCACCATGGTTGGGGAACATTTTGACAATGAATCTTTAGGTGCCGAAAATTGCACTCTCATACCTTTGAAGTCTTTCTGGTATTCTTACCAACAATAAAGTTTAACATTTATGTTTCTTGAAAATCTAGGGGTTGCGATCGCATCCACTGCATCCGCCCCAGGATCCCTAATTGTAGTTCCATTAAGAATTACTTACGGATTGCCGGGGCAAGAGCTTGGAACCAAATAATGAAGTCTACTAATTCATAAACAGTTTTAAGACCAAATAGGGCCTACAAAATTCATATTTTAAATTATTTTATTGTTTTACCGTTTTATATAACGTTTTTTTTTCTTTTAAATGAAATGTATGCTTTGTTGATAGTTTTACAGTTTTATTGTAATAAAACTATGTATTTTTGCAGATGTAAAATACGTAACATTTAATAAATCTAATATTTTATGCTTTGTTGATTAATTTTTTTTACTATTTTTATAAAGTTTGTTTTGATTCGTGAATTTTTTCAAATATTTAATATTTTTCTGTATAAGCTAAATTGTGTACTGTTTATGTGGACTGTCCTTATATTTATTGTAACCATTGTTAAAAACAGGTATTAACATCTGCCTAAAACTAATAAATATATTCTGGGTTGAAAATTACAGAGGCCTATAATTTACAGTACTGTATAAGTTTTCTAATCCTCGATCGGTAGATAGAGGGCGTAATCTCAATGTTTCTTTTTTGTTCCATTTCGGCAAAGGGTTGAAAGAGTACTGTACTGTTTACTCTTTGATTTCGGTCACACCAGTTGCTTTTCGCCCTTATCAGTTCAAATTGACGGTAAACTGTAACGCAAACTACATTAAGTTGAATTTCAAGTTTAACTGTAGAATAAGTCTACAGTACTACTATAGGCAATTTAGTGTAGGCCTAGGCTGGTTTGGCCTGCTCCGCTCACTACTACTAGGCCTAGTACTACTACTGAACTGTACTATTACGAATTGTTGCGTGTTCCGGACACGAGCGGCGAGCCTGTTTTTGTTGTTGATGTCCAAGCCTAGGCCTAGCGTAGGCCTAGCTTCGAAACACCTCCCACTGCTGGAAATTATGGATTTCGAAAAAAAATAAATAAATAAATAAAAGGATTGTATGTAGTCCCAAGGACTCTAGGTTTAACGAAGCCCTTATTATTTTGAGGGAACTGTCAGTGCTGAAAGAAAGTTAATAAAAAAAAAAATTGAATTGAACATGCTTTTTTGTACATTACAGGTCTAGTACTACAGCTACTAATTGTATGGAACAATGACGGCAAACATTAAATGGAACCAAAGGGGTGAGGACTCTGAGAAAGACAGTTATTCAAAAGGAAGTTTAGATCCTTCAAAGCTGTTCCCCTACAACCCCCCAGAGTGGGTGGTGAAACGCCTAACAACAATCCCAAAATTCCGTGTGAAGGTTTGTTTTTGACAATATTCATTGTTGCAAATATCATATTCCTGATAAAAATTGTTTTTTCTTTTGAATTCTTTTTTTTAATTTTTAGTTTCACTATATACAGCACTTCTTAATTCTGCAATCAGTATTATTATTTTTTTTTTGTCCAGTTAGTGAATGACAGTGTTGTAATACTTACTTTGTATATTTAGTGTTTCTGTTAAAATAAAAGCCATGTTAGCCCCCTTCAATCATTTATTCCTTGAGATCTTCTAATGCTGGCATTCTCTCACCCAATTGATAACACAAGGTCGTATGACATCCCCAAAATTTTCAAAGGCCCACATTTTTTCCAAAGACATTTTTTTTCTAGGGCCTTTCACAATGACATAAATGAAAAGGCATCGCTGAGGTACCAGCAATGAGTCCAAAGACCTTGCCAATTGCATGACGTAATCTACAGTATCTCAATTCCAGCAATTCTGAAACTGAGCCTGCCAGCTGCTTCAAGCTGATGGCGCTGTAATCATTTTTCCTGTCTCCCACAGAAAAGCTCCAAAAACGACACACACAGAAACAATTCTGGATAAGCCCATGAGCAGTTCCTTGTTGACCCCAGCGCTTCTACGTTGGTCACACGATCCAAGTGGATCATTTATAAACAAACCTAAAGTCATTATTTACTCATTGCTGTGTACAGTTTTCTGGCAATTGCTTTTGTGATAATTATAATTTATATATTTACTTTTCTTTACCCTGTGTAACCTAATCAGTTAAAAAGTATTGTAATCGTCCTTAGCCCAGCAACACATACAATAAAAATACAATCAAATGACAAAAATCAAGAGAAAATTACGAAGACCAAGGCTATATAAATTGAAAATGTAAAAAGGATAAATTCAACAACAGTTAATTGAAAAGAAGTCAAGATCTGATATAACAACATATCCATTAGTCATCAGGGATGCATCTGTTTTGAGAGGTTGCGGAAGGTGTCATTCTTCCCTTCATTCAGCAGCCATTTCTTTCTGCTACTTTATTTTGCTAAATTTTCCCCACCTCCCACCTATTTTCACTTGATTATCAGGGTTTTAAAAATGTTTGTATAATTAACAGGTGTGTAGTTGAAAGGTGACTAAAATAAAGCAGGTAACTTTACTGTAAAATTTGAGTATTTTGATGCATGTTTAATGCAAAATGCATGGTGTTTATATAGAGGGTGCCACACTGTTAGCGGATTGTATGTTTTTTTAAATAATGCAGCTTTAGTGTGTGTGTGTTTGTCACATCAAATTGTCACTTTCTATGGTGACATAATGAACTGGCACCTTTCTTGTATTTTCTTTTATATTGTTAAACTGTTTTTTGCCATTCTTTACCTAACCTTTGACCTGTAGTCTATTCTTACTCTATATTACCACAATCCATGTTTGCTTTTGTAGTTTTCCAAAGATAAAACATTGTTTATAGTTTGATGATACCATTGCTTAGCTCCATGCAGACAGTCCTGTAAAAAGTTCTAAAATGAATTGTTATTGTTTATATTGAACATGATTAAACCTCGCTCTTTCCCAACTTCATTCCAGAACATATGCTGTGTATTGGTCTTTTTTTTTTTCTGTGTCCTTATCTATTTGTATGCATTAGAAATTGAGGTGTTAAATATTTTTATTGGTTTTTATTGTTTATATTGTGGTTTAAAATTAATAATAAATTTTTTTTGAAGACTTAACAATAATGTAATGGTTTGGTGGCAAGACAGTCCTAAGTCTCTAAGTGCCAGCTATCTACCTTTGCCCTGGCATAATCCCAGTCCCGTACCTATTGTGTAGCAAAACAAACAAGCTGTATCATTATGAATTTGAGATGCTATAATATTTTTCTTGTAGCTTATTCAACCATTCACCCCCATTTATAAATGGAACCTGCCAGGTGTACCTACAGGCTTCGACGTGTCAATCAAACGAGATGATATGACAGGCATTACGCTAAGTGGCAATAAAGTAAGTGCTCTAATGATAAATTAATATTTAATAATAAAATTCTTTAGGCACATGGACCTGGATTACCAGTGATAAACACTCTGGAAGTTTTAGTGAATTTCAGTTTGATTTCTTTATTGTATAGTTTGTCTTTTGATGAAAATTGCAATAAAGTATTTTTTATTATGTATTTAGTGTGTTTCACAAGACCAACCATATACATGATATGCAACATAAGCAAAAGCTCAGTCCACACTATCAGAGGCTATATGTGACTTCCTGATTAGTGTGCAGGGGCACGGGCCCCCTCAACAAATTTTTGCGACCCTGGACCTCCCTCCCTCTCCAAATCATGCTCAAATATTTAAAAATCACCTTATTAATTGAGGTAGCGCCCCTCAACTACGCCACTGATACTGGTATAGGTTTAATACCTGTAGGTCTAGTCATAGATATTTGTGACAGAAAATTCAAAGGTGTTGGCAAAACTTTGTTTAGGACAAGAATACGTTCAACAGAAAAGTCAACCTTTGAAAGCTACTAGATAATTTACCTTTACTGTAATTTTGGTATCAGGCACGCAAACTTGAGTTTTTATTGGGCGATGCAATTCACAAGGAGTGCAATGCGGTGATCACCGTTGGAGACGTTCAGTCAAATCACTGTAGAACGACGGCAGTAGCAGCCAGACAAGTCGGTCTGGAACCTCATCTGCTCATCAGATCTTCTTCTGAAGTAAGTCATTCATCCTTCATTGAAAACGTAAACAACCTGAAGTATCTTCTCTCTGATTGGCTATTAAATATAAAGTTTTTGATAAATAGTTAATGGTATTTTGTTACACTAAACCTTTCTATGGAAATTAAACATCCTGAGGTTTCTATGCTGTGTTTGGCTGATATGTGTGTTATGTGGCTTGTTGTTTTTGTTAAAAAGGGTGAGATATTAATTTGATAAATACTTGGATGTAAAGTACATTCAACACCATTTTACAGTAAGTGGTGAGTCAAGCAGCTGAGAGGTAAGGCAGGGGCACTGCTAAATGCAGCCTTACCGTCGTCGCTAATTTAATATGTTCCCAGGGTTTACTTAAAATGGAAACCAGTTTACACATCTGCACTTTCAATAACCTACAGTATTTGCATCCTTTTGGAAAAGTAGGGCATTACCCCAATGCTATGGGTCATTTTAGCCCTCTAGTGGAGTAAGGTGAACATTAACCTAATATAAGTGCCTACATATGGTGGCTAGGTAGTGAAGGGCCACGCCAATACAAAATTCAGCACAATGATGCTGTGAGTTACTCTATCCTGATATACAGTCGAAATGCCAATATTTTGATTCTTAAGATTATTTTTTTTTAAGAATCCTGAACAAATTCCAAGTGAAGGTAACATGTTCATTGACATGTTAGTGGGATCTTCTTTGTACCTGGTGCCGCTGAAGCCTTTCCAAAACCAACAAAGAATGGAGAAACTGGCTGAATGTTTACGGTAAGGTCTTAGAAATAATTTACGATAATAATATATAAGCTGATCGTAATTTATTTGATTCATTTATTTATTAATAAAAATCAAAATTTATTTAAAATTATAGTTATCTTTTTTTTTTTTTTTTCATTTTCGCAGTCAATATTATATGATATTCATTGATGTTTGTCTATTTAATGTTATTATAAATAAATAGATAAATAATGTTGGGTTTTAGGTATGAGAAAGTAGCCGCAAACCTGCACATCTCTTCTAGGTAAACACAAGCTTTTGCCTATGTTCACAAATTCTATGTTTCTACACCTGCTTTCCACACTTTTTCTCCCATCATTCATTCCCAGAAGTTCTGTCCTATAATATTTAACTTTTTAAATGCTATATTAATCGTATCAGTCTGCTCTCTCTTTTCTAATTTTCCTTTGGCTGGACTTGTCATAGGTTAGGTTCACCTTTTCTGGGCATAACAAATTAAAATAATAAATAAATAAAATAATGTTGGGTTTTAGGTATGAGAAAGTAGCCACATACCTGCACATCTCTTCTAGGTTAAACACAAGCTTCTGCCTATGTTCACAAATTCTATGACACTTAAATAATAAACTTATCATTGTTTCACCTTTTATTCCTTCTTTGAAAAAGAGAACAAAATATTATTACATGATAGAAGAATAGGTTTTTTTTCCCCTGATTCTCTCATCATATTGTTAATTTGATTTTTTTTTTCTACATGCCATGTTTCATTGTTTCTAAGACCACGAAATGAAATAATTCTTCTACAGTAAATCAAGAAACTTAAAATGTTATACAGTCAAACCAGGGGGATCCAATGCTATTGGTCTTTACAGTATTTTGCCTGTCGAATTAAGATGTGTATAAGAGACAGAGACTATATTGTTTATTGTATATCCATATTATGTCAACTTCGCCGCAGCTGATCGTTGTTATCATTCGCTGAACAACAACCTTGGCAGATGTGTACTCCACCCTTCGGTGCCACAAAAAACCCAAGCTATTCTGGTGCCGGTACCGGAAAAGGCACTGACATGTTTACGCCATAAGATAAGACCATTGTTTACGCACACATTTGTGTCTGTCTCTTATACACATCTTCTTAGCAGTTGCCAACTGGGTCACACCTTGAGTAAGACTCCAACCCTTTCCCAACCACTACCCTCAAACATATCTTAGCAGTTGCTAACTACTTTACTGGATCACATCTCAAGTAAGACTACAGCCCTTCCCCACCATCTTCTTCAAACACACCTTAGCAGTTGCTAAGTCCCTCACTGGGTCACACCTCAAGTAAAGACTACAACCAGTGGTGGCTGTAGAATATATTTTTTGAGGGGTTGAGGGAGGCTGAGTGAAATAAGGATAAGTGTGGTGCACATCATCATCCTAGGGCCCTCTGACCAAAATAATATTTTTTTTTTTTAAATAGGGAGTCTCAGATTTGAAAAATACTTTTAAATGTAAATGTGATAAAATACAATTGTTACTATACTCTCAACTCAATAAACACGCATTTCATTTCAATAAGCTTCTTTTCTTTTTCTTTTTTTGGTTTGACTGCCTGACGAGCTCTGGCCCCTGGGGTGGGGCTTAAGCCCCTGCTGCCTCCCACTGGTGCTGCCACAGACTAAACCCTTCTCCAACTACCGTCCACAAAACACACAGCAGTTGCTAGCTAACGCACTCAAAAAAATACAACAAGGATATTCTTTGTAGTTACTTTAATATAGCATATTTTCTGACTCTTTTATTAAAGTTGAATTTATGAAACCCATTATGGACGTTAAAATCAAAAGAGAAAACATCGGTACTGAAGCTGAAATGCAATCAAAACCATTATTGACTTAACAGTCTTTATACAGTTTCCTGATAATAAACTAATTTATTCAGTATCATTTTCATTCTCCCTCTAATCTAAGACTTACTAACTCAAGATTGTTCATACTAACATTTTTGAATATTTAAGTACTAGATCTAAAGACCTTGTGATAGTAGGACAGGCACCTTATCAAGCATGTCATAGTTACAATTTATTCTCATTGAAGTTATTTTATGCTGTTATGACACACTACATTCAACAATGTATTAGATGACATTCTGATAAATAAATTCCCCACACACACATATACATCTAACACACACAGTTATCCAGAAACACCATCCAGAATTAGATGTTTTTATTTCATTAAATTGATATTAATTTTCTTCATGTTGTACTTACACTCATCCAGACCCACCGTCCAGTATTTGTTATTAAGTTTTCTTCATTTTGTGTCTTTGCTTAAGGGTGCATGCATTTATGATCAGAAATGACAAGGTTTATGTTATCAACCATGTTACAATCACCCAGACCCACCGCCCAGAATTTGATAATGATATTTCTTCATTTTGTGTCTTTGCATCAGGGTGCATGCATTTGTGATCAGAAATGACAAGGTTCATGTTATCAACCATGTTACTGAAATCCTGGAAGAGATTGGTTTGGACCTTGAGGTGAAAGCTGAAGAACTGATTGACGTAGTAGAAGGCTCAATAGGCCTAGGTTATGCTAAGTCTACTCCAGAAGAACTAGGTATGCACCATTTATTAAGATTAATAAGTTACTTTATTTATAGTACCCATTGGTATATTAATACCTATTTTAAGTTAACATGCTTAACAGTGTTCAGTTGAGAGCTTGATCAATAAACAGGGTTCGTATGCGTCCTTAAATTCCTTGAATGTCCTGAAAAAAAAAAAATGAGCATTTTCCAATACTGGAAATGTATGATTGCCCTTAAATTTCCAGGAAATTTGATCATTTACCATTTATTCAGTACTGCAAGCTGCCTAGTAACAGTAAATTATATGAGAAAATGTTCCCACAAGTACTGTAGGTTCCTACGATATTCTTGGGAGAAGCAGGTCAAGTCTTTGTACATCACCAGTTTAGAAATGTTATCGAAGACAGAAAGGATGTCAAACGCTGAACATGGCTGACTGACTGGTTCAGAAAAACTTGTGCGATTCAGTGAATGAAGTTGTTTGCCTATATTTTAGTAATACTTCTACAGTTATTTTAATGAAAGGCGTTTACAGTTAGTCCTTGATTTTAGAGTGAGGTATTTCGTTAATTATGTTTCTAAAGTGTACAAAATCATTTAAAAAAACAATGCCGGTCGACAGCCTGTCAGTGCCGGTAGGACGGTGAGAACTCTGCTGTACGTTAACCCTTGCTGTATAAAAAATTATAAAAGTTTACGTAGGCCTACATCATTATAAATGTCAAAATACAGAGCTGAAATTAACAACTAGGGCCTCATAATAATAGACTGAATATCAATAATATTAGGCTCAATGAATAATAATACATAATAGTACAGTATAGCATGTCAGTATGGTGATGTGTAGAGAATAGAGCATAAACTTAATTAATTAATAATACAGTACATCATTAGTTTAGAGAAGTTTAAACATAAAAACCTAATTATATATGAAATACAATAAATTAATGTCTCCGCGACGTACACCCATTGAAGAAGGCTATATTGTTTATTGTATATCCATATTATGTCAACTTCGCCGCAGCTGATCGTTGTTATCATTCGCTGAACAACAACCCTGGCAGACGTGTACTCCACCCTTCGGTGCCACAAAAAACCCAAGCTATTCTGGTGCCGGTACCGGAAAAGGCACCGACATGTTTACGCAATAAGATAAGACCATTGTTTATGCACACATTTGTGTTGCCAAGGAGAGAATTCTTCTCTAGTGCAACTGTAGGCAATCAGCCTTTGCTTACCAACAAATTTTTACGTGTGAGAAAAACAGAAAACAACCTAAAATAAAATGTGCCAACAGTGTTTGTATATTTAAAAAGAAATATAAAATATTTCTAATTGAGGCTCAATAATTCACGCTTTCATGGAAATAAGGAATTAGATTGTTTAAAATTATTATATTCAATTTATTTAAAAAAAGAGAATTGTAACGTAACAGTTTAATCCATGAGAAAGTAAGAATTTTGGAACCATGAGACAACTCACAATAATACAGGAGTAACATAAGCCTTTTTTATGAATTGTTTATTAAGTATAACACTTGAAAATAAAAAAAGTAATGTACATAATGGTGCAACCCATGAGATAGTAAATCTTTGGAACCATGAGACTAAACACACAATAACACAGGAGCATGGATAACATTATTTATTAAGCAAAACATTATAGAAAATAATAAAAAAAATTTACAGTTAATTACATTATTCGTTATTCAATGTCAAAAGGGGCTACAATGACCGGTCTTTTGGCCATTGTCCTGTCTATTTTGTGCTTTTTTTTTTTTTCTGTTTTAATGTAAATGTTTTGATTTGCCAATAAATATGACTTGTGACTTATGTAAAAAAAAGAATTTCCCACAAGCGTGAGAAAAAGTTTTACAACGTGCGAACCCTGGATAAAAAAAGGCAATACTAAGCCTACTCCAGTTACACTTTGGATGCAAGAAAGATTTAATTAAACAAATGAACAAAGACCAGCAATTTATTTTGATACTAATTTTGTCTTCTTTTTAATTCAGAATTCATTACCAATGTTTCAATGAAGACTGGTGTGATCTTAGATCCAACTTATACCGGCAAAGCAGCCTTCGGTCTTGTTGAGCACATAAATACCAATCCAAGTGCCTTTAAAGGAAAGCGAATCTTATTTGTTCATACAGGTAAAGTTTAAAATCATTAATAAAGTAAAACCAAGTAGGTCTTTGTAGCAAAAGGCTAACAATAAATGTTCACTCTCAATTTTTATGTGTTAACTTGGGCATAGCATGATGATGTCATCTCAGACCATATATGAGCATAGCATGATGATGTCATCTCAAACCCATATATGAGCTTGATGATGTCATCTCAAAAACCAATATATGAGCATAGCATGATGATGTCTTCTGAAACCTATATTATGAGCATAGCATGATGATGTCATCTCAAACCCATATATGAGCATAGCATGATGATGTCATCTAAAACCCATATATGAGCTTGATGATGTCATCTCAAAAACCCATATATGAGCATATCATGATGATGTCATCTCAAACCATATATGAGCATAGCATGATGATGTCATCTCAAACCCATATATGAGCTTGAAGATGTCATCTCAAAAACCCATATAGGAGCATAGCATGATGATGTCTTCTCAAACCCATATTATGAGCATAGCATGATGATGTCATCTCAAACCTATATTAGCATGTTGATATCATGTTAAACCCTTATTGGCATGCTGATATTATATCATGCCTTATTAATGGCAAATCACAGGTTCATGTTAAGCACATATAGGCAATTTGTTTGTATTATGCGCTATATAAGGCTTACATAAATATTATTATTAGTATTATTATTATTATTATTATTAATATTATTATTACTGATATTAAAAATGCTTTCCGAGTCTTGGTTTAGAGCTAAGTCCGAGCCTTTGTTGCTTTTGCCCTCAAAATAAGACTCTAAAATACTGGAGTAGATTTGCAATAAGGAAGGAAAATTTCATAATTGTGTGACAATAAAAGATCTCTATCTGTATCTGTAAAAGCTAACTTTTTTACTATCATTCAAACAATGTGGTCAGGTAATCAGTATACTTACTGTTATTATTATTATTATTATTATTATTTTATTATTATTATTGTTATTATTATTATTGTTATTGTTCTTGTTCTTGTTATTATTATTATTATTTTTTATTATTATTATTTATTATTATATTATTTTTATTATTATTATTATTTTTGTTATTATTATTATATGATTATGTTATTTTTGTAGGTGGTTTCTTTGGATGTGTTAATGGGAAGTTCAAGAGTGTTCTTGGTGAGACAGCAGTAAACAGGATCCAAGGCTGGATGGATATGAATGTGGAACCTGTCGTCCTTTAAAGCTAATTTTAAAAACACTGCCAACAGTACTAATCTCTTATGATTCAAACCCCAATGGAGTCCAATACTTTTTCACAAAACATTAAATATTTTTAAAATGTACCACCAACTTCCACCCAACCTGAATTTTAGAATAAAAGAAGTTAACTAAACTATTAAGAATAATGTGGTAAAAATGTCATTAACTTGTTATCCACTACTCTGTCGCTACAGTGTTTTCATTGCAATCGTTGCCTGCGTTGCTGCTCCCAACGCAATCTGAGGGCTCCCCGATTCAACCAACCAATTTGCATATTAAAATGGATAATTTTTAGTTGATTAGCTGGCTCTGTTTTCTCAGGGATGCTATCATTTTATTCATTGTTTTTGTATTTTACTCTGATTGCTCAGTAAATTCAAATCAAATCTATATGACAGCAGACAGTTACCAAATACTTAGAGTTAATGGTACAGTCAGTGCAATGTCACATGGCAGACAAATATGCAGATATAATATATACAAAGTTTTAGGTCTTATATAAATAATGAAATGTAATTACTTTATAAATATATTGATATATAAAAGTATTATAAATTCTGAAAGTATCTTATTTTTACTGTATGAGCAACAATGAAGATTTGCCGTCCGTACTTTGTAATTTTGTTATTGTTTTAAAATTGATACAATGTCTTACAGAAAACCAACCTTAACGATTTAATGGATCTTTATTAAACTTTTTAAATGGACGCTTTTTAAAACAAATTGTTATAAATATTAATTATGAAATGAAATATATTTATGTAATAAACTTGAGGAATAAATAATCACCATTATTTTAGATAAGAACTATAATTATTGTGTTTTGTTTTCTAAAATATACAAACTTTTTTTTAAATTGCTTTTTTTAAATCGTGTGTGTCGGGGATTGTTACCTATAGCGAATAATGGACCTTTCCCGAGTGTCAATCAAACTTAACAACCAGGCCCGTAGGCAGGGGGAGCAGAGGGTGCGGACGCACCCCCCACCCCAAATTCCAAAAGGTCCACTTTTTAAAACCTATGATTTCACAAAATCGTTCCTAATTATCACGAATGCTATAGCATGCATTGCATTATATATTTGCCAGCTTATCTAACCGTTAATTTTTAATAATGTGGTATGAAATTTGTTTGAAATTGATCGCTTCTGGTGATTGCAGATTGATCTATGTTATCTATAGGCCTGCAGATGTACAGGACATAATAACGTTACTTTTTCAGGCCTCAAAAACACCCAAATTAATGAAAATTTTAATGAAATATTCATGAATTATGTGTTTGAGAAATCTATTATGTAAGACCCTCAAAATGTATTTCTCACTAACCCCCTCCAGGCCTCTGCCCCTGGACCACCAAATTTTAAAAAGTCCACTTTTAAAAACCTATTAATTATTTCACTAAAATCGTTCCTAATTTTTACCCGTTGATTTTTAATAATGTGCTACGAAATCTGTTATCAGTTCCAGTGATTGTAGGCCTACAGATGTAAAGGACATGAAAAATTATAATTTCATAGTGGTGGATTCAAGGGGGAGAGCCCCCTAAAATTATAAAAGAAATGAAGAAAAAAGTAAAATCATAATTAAAGTTTGTCTGAGAGTGCCATTTCCGGCCACTTCGGAGGTGCCATAATCATAATTTTTTTAAATTTTCTTACCTCAGCCCCAACCATGGTGGGGCTGAGGTGGTATTGACCATCTGTCTGTGCAAGTTTCTCCCTTCACCCCACCCTCTATTTCTCCTGCTTTACTGTAGGTCCCTAGACAATACTCAAATGAATGAAAATTTAAATAGGATATTACAAATTATGGATTTTAGAAATTCATTTAAAAAGGCCCTCAAAAGGATAATTTGTCAGAGCTTTCCAGAAGATTCGCCCCACTCTCTCGGGGATCCCTTGGCAGTTGCCCATCCTAAGGTCCACTTCGGTTGCAGAACAGTGCAAGAATACGCGCGTCCAATAAACATGTGTTGTTCATAAACGCACATGTTTACGTACATTTACACTATTGTGTGATGACAATATCCAAGGGTCAGGGCAAGGTTGAAAGGTCAGTGCTAGTTACCGTTTTCAAATCTATATTTAAATATCATTAGTGGAATTACTATTTCGAATAAAAATAAAGTGCCACGGAAAAAATGGAAATTTCAGAAAAAATGAAATTATTTCTTTATTTTCATTACCCCTGTCGCTGCCTTGAAATCTTTAAAAACAAGATATCTACATTTCTCCCTAATTAAATAGTAAAATTTAAAGCATTTAATCATCCCAATATGACACTGTTTACATTAAACAATAAATTTTTTATTTTCTTCTCCATCTGAAAGTTTTTCTGCAAAACAATTTGCTAATTAGAAAACAAAATTTGATTTTTTTCGCTCTCTAATGATCTTTAAAAAAAATAAGTTCGCGTAAGAAGGTGTAAATAAAAGTCGCGCCTTATTTGTGGTTGTAAATCAAATCCGGTTTGATGATGATGATTAATACAGAAATTTGTTAGTAATGTAATTTTTTTTTTTTTTTGACTTTAATAATTATTCATCATGAGTAAACCGATTTTTACTCACATTGGATTTGAATACAGGTTTGTTAATTCTTTTTGTAGGCTTCAGCGATGGTAAAATATTGGCGTAAATTAAATGAAGGAGGAATTCTGGAAGAACCGTTAGCACGCTATTTGTGGAGAAATGAACTTAAAAGCAGTGAAGATGATGACGACGTCGTTTTTAAAGACTTCATTGAACTTATGAAGGCATTTGGACTTCTCTTTGAAAAGGTGTGGCCTATTTGTACTGGTACCTCCTTTTTTACTCTCGATCTCCACAAAATAAACGACTGTATATAATGTCGTAGGCCGTATTTACGAAAAGTATTCACTGATGTGTAAAATTTACTCTCATTATAGTCATCGTAACACTACCAACGTTATCATCAGTAGGCCTATCGTCGTAATCATCGTCCTTATCGACGTCACCATCAAAATTGTCGTTCATTAATTACAAATAAATAAACATTTTAAATTTGTTTCGAAGTAGGCAAACAAAACATAGATCTTGTATATTTTGAACAAATATGAGCTATTTTTAATACCCACCGGAGGGTACAATGCGCTTTTAAAAAGAAGTGTCTCAGTACTCAAAACAATAACACGTTGATACAATTAGGCGTACAAGTTATAAAATACAGCCATTATAAAATACATCCATTATATAATATTATTAATGATGTACGAATCAGAAGTTAATGGATCTAAATTGCCCTTCTCGTGTTTTCCTATTTTTCGAAATGCAGACAGACAGACAATCTCATGATCAGAGTGACGGATTCATGTTTTGGACGTAGGGTCCAGCGGATTGACACTAGGGGGAGGCTAGCTTCCTCCCTCACCCACGTCAGTTCCGCCGAAAAAAAAGAGGGAGAAAAAAATTGATAAGAGGAAAAATAAAAGTGTACCCACGATATCAGTGGCGGACCTAGCAGTGGGTAAAATGAGAGCTCGATTATTTTACCACTATACTATTTTAAATTTTGAATTTTCTATTGATTGACGACGAACACAACGTTATATCCCCGACGCTGATTTTCCAAGGATTTCATATATCATCAGGGTGTACAAAAAAAGCCAAAGACGAATTAGTACGGCAGGGAATTTACTACCCAGCTAGAACAGTCTACCCATGCTCAGTGGCGTAACGCAAGTGGTGCTCTCCTGCGGCGGTCCACAGAGGGCCACCGACCCGTATATGAGCCCCTTCGCTGATCCAAAGGGTTTTATTAATACACAACACCATAATGTGTCTCTGACATCGACTGTGGATGATAAATATCATATTAATCCAGTGGGAATGGCCAGGACTACCCGGTCCCGCCCCTCCCCCCACCCCTTAAAATTGTCACAAATTTTTTAAAATGTAGATAAAATATTCAAATTTTTAAGTCTGAATGAGTGCCAATTCCGTGCTATAATAATGATTTGCTTTTCGACTCCAGTACAGCATATAATACAGGTCCTTTATTAGACATTTTGCAACGCCCGTGAAGGGAGGTTGTTTGAGATAGGGAAGTATAGCTCCCGTCAGGCCAAGAACTTAATAGTTTTTGAGGAGGAATATTGCTTTGATAGAAGCATTTTTACAATATGAGAGTGCCATTTCCGAGCGTCTAGAGAAATTTATTCTTATAATTTGCTCACTTGAGGGTGTCGCCTAACTTCACCTCCCCCTCCCTCCGGTTCCGCCCTTGGGAAGAAGAGGGTGGAACCGGGAGAGAAGACAAATTAAAGGGAGGGTCCAGATTTCCTCAGCCACAATAGTTGGAGCTGTAGCACGGAATATGGCCATGGCACCTCCTGTACAGCCTTGTATAGAGATTGCTGTATTATGGGCCTTATAAATCCATTGTTTGATTGTGTGTTATTTTATGATTTTTCCCTAGCAATCTTTAAATCTTAAAAGGACGTGTTTTGTACTTGACGTGTAAAATTAACTCTCATCAATAATCAGCCAACAATCATCATCATCACCGTCGTCGTAATTATCCAAGTAGTCTTTATTGCTGTCGTTATCAACATTGTGTCGGTCATTAATTTCAATTTCAATTAAATTAAATACCGCAATGTTTTCATAAAAATCATATCACGTATCGTACGTAATGCATCATTGTATCTGGGATAATACAATTACTTGCCTGCTCCTACACCATCATATTAGTTCATAACCCTTAAATATTATTTAAACTTTCTAAACAAAAATAAAAACTAAAGACGAACCATTAATTCTCACTGGAAGTTAAAAATCATTAAATAAGAAATTCAATATTTTAGTTGTAATTTTCATGAGTCTCTGAAACAGACAAAATGACTTTATTTCTGTAGAGGGCAGTATTACTATTAGACTTCGCACGTATGTCTGTATAATTTTCAGAGTTTACGCATGTGTTGATGATCGGAGCTATCGGAGGAGCAGAACCCTATCCTCTGCCTAAGATTGTAAGGAGAAATATTTAGCATAGCTAGGCTTCGCCCGGGTCCCTAACTACGTACTGTAAACGTAACACGGGGATCCGTAAAGCGTACAATAAACAAGGAGTCATTTTGTTTATTTGATAATCTTTTTCTTGGCCTTTCAGTAGGAGCCTGGCCTACCGTACTAGGCCCTAAGTAGTAGGCTCTATAGGCTATTTTGCTAGGCTTGGCAAAAACCAAGAAACTAATGAAAACTAGGTAGTAGTATTAGTATTAGTCTAGAGTAGTGGTCTACACTAATTTTAAGGGCCTACTTCTTTTTTACTTCTTTTTTACTTTTTCTTTTTCTTTTTTATTTCCTTCACATCCAACAGCAAGTACACTCGCCACTTACAGGATGAGAATGATGCTTTATAAACTAAGTCACTTTGTGAGGCTTATTAGGGAGTGGAGTTGTTTTTGGTCGGGAAAAAAATTCCTGCCGTGACAGGAATTCAACCCAGGACATTGGGATCAGAAGGCAAGCATCTTAACCACTGAGCTATTCAACTCCCAAATCCAAGTACTACAGTACTTTAGCAAGGCTCGGTCTCTCTAGGGCCTAGCCCCCCCCCCCCACCTCAAGGTTGGGAGTCCAAGCTACAACCGATGTGCCAACCGCTTCTACAAAAATAACATAACATTACCGTTATTTTGACTGCCAATGTCATATTATTGTGGTCTATCATGCACTTCGTGCATCGTACAAGGTCCAAGGGAGGTTTTATTCTGGGCCGAGGCTTCATTGGCGCTTGCTTGTGTCAGACCTTCATTAGACCGGTTGTCGACAAATCTCTGGCGTCGCCGCTGAGTCTAGGCCTATCCTAATGTAGTAACATGAAAATGTTTAAAGTTATATTTATAGCTAAGCATTTGGTCAAGAGCATTGTCCCTGCTTCTTGCACTGTAGACCCTTAGTCAGGTTTTAAATGAAGTCAGATTGCTCTTCTCCTTGAACAATCCTCGCGTGAGAATTAGATATGTTGGTACTAGCATTGCACTGTGGCTACCGTGGGTCCGTAGGGGCCCAGCCAAAATTTTGAATTTCAAATATTTGTAATTTGACAAAAATGGAAAGTTTGATGAAAAAAATCTATATTCTTAAATAGGTATATTGGAGTGATAAGAATGATTGTGTTTTTGGTAATGTATTTGGTAATAATTAATAAAATGTTTATAAATCCTTTTTTAAACAGGTAATTAACAATTATGTTAATGTCATGATGATTGCATTCAAAGTAAAGGCTCTAATTTGCCAGGTGAAGATCAGTCATTTAAGAAGACATCTACTGCTTGCAACAACGAATCACAGATGCCAACACACAAAGAGTAATTCAAATAAACTACTCAGTTACAGGCCACCTGATTGGGCACGCCACCTTCAAATGATTCCATTAGTGAAAGTTAAGGTAGGAAAAAATCCAATTGTATATAAATATATTTGATATTCAAAATACTTTAATATATGAGAATTTTATTATTTAATGTATTAATCAGTCAATTTTTAAAAGCTGATCAAAAGCTAGAAATTTCTGTATAGAGCAAGAGATTGAAATCACTTGGGCAAAATACTGATTAATAGCAAAAGGAAACAAATATTAGATTTGTAAGATGGTGACTGACAGGTGAGTTTAAACTATACTAAGAGAGAAGAGCCAGTCAGTCATAAAGAAAGATATATTATACAAATATTTAAATAAAATTTGATATTTGTAAGATCAATCATGTGAAAATCAAAGGCTTATTCCAAAAATCGAATAATGTCAAACTAAAAGTCTTAATTTTAGTTAGAACTGCGCATTCTCGGATCTAGTTTACATAAGATTTATTGATTCAATGGTAGATTATTTATTACAGTAAGATGCTTGCAGTAATGATTATTTTTTTGTATAGTAGAACTCCTGCTTTGGGGCACTCTTAATATTAAAGGGAAACTTTTTTGCAAAATGTCTTTTAGCTCTACAGCCAACCTCTATTATGAGGAAACGTTTATTAAAAAGATGGGAATACAGTAGGTTTGCCAGATGACCAGTTCAAACACATTCAGTTCGGTTCGGATTCAATTGTTAAGATCAAAATAATATTTTCAAAATATTTCTCACAATTTAAAATTTTATATCAGTTTATGTACGTAAATCTACAGACTTTTCAAATGCATACAATATAGATAGCACTTTAGTCGCCAGTTACCCCATTAATGTACTCAATGGGGTAAATAAATGTTTTTTAGCTTTTTCAGCCATTTACACCTATTCATAAATGGAGTCTTCCAAATATACCAGATGATATTGATATTTATATCAAGCGAGATGACATGACTGGATCTGTTTTATCAGGTAACAAGGTTAGATGTCTAATACTGTATTGCTTTAGTCACACTGATAATATCAACATTTATTTAAATTAATAAGATCATTTAATAATACAGTACATCAAGTCACAGATAAAAGAAAGTATCATTTCCAATTATTTAAATTTATTTTAATTGAGAAATTCAGGAATTTTCTTCTTAAAATTTGTCACATAGAACCTGACAATGTGAACAGAGCTTAAAGCTGTGTCCACACTATCAAATTTTTTGTGACAAATTTGTGTGATGTGCATGATTATGTCATATTACACCCAAATATGGACATATCACATTTATTAGTCACTCCTGATAGTCAGTGTGGGAGGGGGAAGCAGGAGCCTAAGCCCCCCACTGGACTGGTCAAGCCCCTCCCCCCATCTGACAGAGCACATAGGGCAGTTAAACTAAAAAGAAATATAAAAATAGCCCACACCAAGCCAACAGATGTCTGTCACAGTCTGAAAGTGTCATTTCTGACCATCCATAGGTTCCTATTCTTAAAAAAATCTCATTTGGGAAGCTCAGAAAATATATCCTAGAGTTGCCACTGCTGATGTGTGATCAGAGATTAAGATTAAGATTGTAGTGGAGGTGTGCTTGGTGGTGACAATTCTTTGCCTTCAGATTCCTGGGTTCTGAGTCTCATGACTCTCTATGTCTTGCATCACATTATTTCATATATTTAAGTTTGCCCCTGAATATCAACTGACCATATTTAGGCATGTCACATGTTTTTGTCAAATAATATTTGATAGTCTGGACAAGTCCTTATTATTTGTCCTCTGCTTTGTCTCTGTCAGTCTTTTTGTTTTTAAATTCAATTTTTTCAGCGCCCTCTGTCATAAGTTTATGTTTTTACTAGGTACGGAAACTGGAGTTCTTACTAGGTGAAGCCTTAGCAACTGGTTGCCAAGCAGTGATAACGTGGTGGAGTTCA